GTTTCAGCAACATTTAATTTAAAAACTGTACTTTTGAGGTTAAACAAATGTTCATAATTAATTTAAGTAAATTAGAAGTTAAAAAGGGCATGGATATTTCTCTTGTTTGGTATTGAAACAATATTGAACCATGAAACTAAAGCATTGAACTGGACCGAATCATGACCTAAAACAGAATGGGCTCAATCAGGCTGGCTGGAGAAATGCTGCCATGAAGGCTGAGCTTTGGTTACTAGGGCAACAACAGCTTGGAAAGTTTTCAGTCACACAGTCTGATTTGACTTTTATACACCATTCTATCAACGACTTAGTAAACAAAGAAAAGCTCTAAAACAATCAATGACGAAGTCGCTTCCTTTTTGTTGGTCAGCTGGTTGTTGGCGAGTAAACAAGCCGAGCTTTTAAATCTCTTGAAAAACATCTAAACTGTCTTTATAGTAAGTCTTAATGTATGGAGGACCAGTTTCCAAATACTGGCGAGGTAGGTGGATTAACTTATCATTTTTTCCTCTTTAGTTCAGCTGTGTTCTCTCCTAAAGCTTCTAATCACATATTAAGGACTTAGCATATTACTGAGTAGGAGGCCAGGGTGCCTAATCAGTTCCCCTTCTTAAGACTTGTGTTGAAGCAGGTCAATACTTTATGCCACAATGCTGATGAATCCACAGCTTTCTGTTGGACCCCTGGCCGCCCCCCTGTCCCACTCTCCTCGCTATAGTTTTTATCTCCACACAGCCATTTCAAGGAAGTAAGCAGAGGTAATCAGATACCTGCAGTGCCTGGCTTTGCAGAACCCCTCCCTTCATGGGAGGAGTTCTGAAAGGAGGCGTCCCAGACTGGGTGGACCAGTGAAATTCTTTTTTTTTTTTCCTTTTTTTTTCAATCTGTGGAGGATTTCTCACTCACTAGCACACAAAGTTTCYCTATAACCTTGACTCGCGCTGAAGAGCACAAACTTTTTGTTTTAAGGTTTGGATTCCAGCCCGGCACAGAGAGAGCAACTTTGTGGATAATACTACTCGAACAGGCCTAAAGGATTGGAATGGCTTTTGTGAAAGACAGGTGAACTCTGTTCTGCTTYCCTGGTTACAGCAGGACAGGTTTCCAGCCGCTGAACAGCTTGACTTCACTTGCTGTGTMATGGTAATCCAGACACAGGAGGAAGGGAGGAGACTGAGCCGTACCGCCAACAACTTTCAGACAGGAGTTTTCACCATGTGATATTTTTTAAATCTTCCACATTCAAACGGTTCACGTGTCAGACGGACCTCAGAGGAGTACGGGAGAGGCCTTTTGTTCCCGGCCAGCACTGGAGATGGAATATAACCAAACTGGATAACTAGAAGTGGGGAATTTGATTTTTTCTGACATTTTCAGCAGATCCTGCCCTGAAACAACTTAGGTTTGCCTCTTTTMGCTCTCAGCTGTAGGTCACTGTGAGAGGAAAATGGACAGTGCAAAGAACATTTTAGATGAGCAGGGGAAGCATCCCACTGGTTCCATCTTGAACACCTTCAGCGGTTTTTTCACACGGGACGGGGCCGCCTCTGTAGACGCTGGTATGCCCACGCTGACGTCTTTCAAGGAGCTGTCAAATGGAGAGACTGTAGACCGTGATTCYGTTCGAAAGGTTGAACCATCCGTGAGAACTTCTACAGAGAAAGCTGACGCCGACCTCGTTCAGGTCACAAGGGTGGAAACCCATAGCGATGAAGAAAATGATGGAGAGGAGGCAACATGCATTAGCACAACGCAAACTACGGGGGCTTCGTTGGAGAAGCTTAGCAACACTATGCCATCTGAGAAGGACAATAATGTGGAAGGAGATGAGCCCAAAATCCCTGTGTTTAGAACACACAATTTTAAAGAAAGATCGCGCATAGAGGCTATTTTATACGCCAGTAAATTTAACAACAGAGGAAGATCCAGGCCGGCTAGGATCTCCACAGTGTCCAAACAGGAAGACCTCTGTAACTCCAAGGAAAGTACCACCACAGTGTCTGTTGCAGAAACATCACCGGTTGAAAAGAAACAAGATACAAAAGCAGACGAGAAGAGTGAACTTAATGGAGTAGACGGCTCTCAGCCTGATCCCTCAGTCATCACTGAAGACCTAAGTTTGGAGGCTCCAAGCAATAATAAAGATGAGGTTTCTCCATTAAAACCAAAAGATAACAAGGAGAGAATTAATGAAAAAGCTGAGGAGAAGCCCGAGGAGTCTCACTCTATCCAGATCTCCTCTTCTGCTTCTTCAAACACAACGACTTCTAAAGTCTTGAGTCAGTTAGCGTCTAATCCAGCCAAACAAACACAAGCTAATAGTTTAAAACTTTCAGGATCTGGGATATCCACATCTCTGTTAGCTGGACGTAAAGAATCCACAAATAACAGTCGAACAAGTATTGGCTCTCCTGCAAAGAAGACAGCAGAGCTAATGAAACCAGAAACGACTTCAGCGCCACCAGTTTCATCTGCTCCTACCTCCATCACTTCCTCTAACCCATCCCCATCCAAGGGTGCACAGCTGTCGTCACCTCCTTCCTTCCAGATGCCGGCTCTCTTCAGTGGTTTGCGGGTACTGAAAAAGGGATCGGTGGAGGAAAACCGAGAGATCAAGCAGAGGGAGAAGGACGCTGATCTGGCACTGCTCAACCTCAAGAGTACCGTCAATAAAGCCAAGCATTTTCCCGAGCAGAAGACAACCACTCCAGTCAGAAAACTGTCCGAACCCAGATCTAGCACCTCAGTGGGACAGCTCAGTCAACGGCTGGGCCTAGGTCACCAGGATGATGCTAAAAAGTTGAGCGATGGGCAGGAGGGTGAGACTGCACATGACAAGAAAGGCTCCGAGAATGGAGGAGAGGTATCAGAGGAGAAAAGTCCTGGAGCAGAAACATCCACCGCTGACAAAAAGACCACCACAGACATGGCTTATGAAACCTTTAGGAGCATTTTTGGTCCTAAGACTATCAAAAAAGAGAAGACCGAGGAAGTGGACTTGGAGGCAGTGAAAAGAAAACTCAAAAGTGACAAGGAAAATTTGAGGTTGATTTTTCAGAGAACCTCCAAATCACCTAGTAGMGACGCCACAGGTTCTACAGACTCTGTTGTATGTACTTACAGCGTTTTACATTACTGCTTCCCATTCTTTTTGTGGACTATAAATTTGTTCATGTTTTCTCGTCTATAGACAGAGGTTACATCCCCTGCAGATAGTGAGGACCGGACCCCCGGGCGTTTACAGGCTGTGTGGCCCCCACCAAAGTCTAAGGATGAAGAGGAGAAGGTGGGGCTCAAGTACACCGAGGCAGGTGAGGAAGTCAAGCTTGTAGGAATGAACACTGTTGTCTTTGTTTGCATTTAAGACTGGGAGTACTGACAAGACAACCGTGCCAGTTAAGCTTTTCAGGGACACGCCTCATGCTGACTGGCTTTGTGGATTGCAGCCAGTGCAGCTGCAGTATAATTAAATCAGTGGGAGTGTCTCGCTTAAGTATTTGTAGCTTGTTCAGTGTAGACATCAAGACACCAAAACAAAAGTCAAGCCGTCGTTATGTAATCCATGATCAATCGTTATTGAAATGACTGAGACAAATAGTACAAATCTAGCTAAGATTTAGCATGAATCTGTCAAAATCCTTGATTTTCTGTGGCTTGTAGGAGACATGTCTGTTGTTGCTTCATAGTTCAACTGTGTGGATGTTAGAGAGGTAAAAGAATCCGTTCATTTGGACCAACTTGTTGGTGTAATGACACACAAACGGGCTGAAAGCACACAGCACAGATTAAATTACAGTAAAAACACTTTGCTTTCAGGCTCTATGGGTTTGGTGCCTCTGTGCAAATTAGCAATGACACAACAGTTGTTTATTGTTCCTTGTGGTTCCTCCAGCTTCAGCTGGAGAATAGATTAAGGTGAGCTAATGTGCATTAGTCTAGTTATCTGTGCTCCATGTCTGGCTCTGGGCTCGACAAATAGAATGAAACTGAAAAGCAGAGTCCAGACTATAAGCCTGTAGAGATAAAAATAAAAACAATGTTTGTCTATGCTCCTCACGTTTATAGTCCTGTATATCTTAGTTCTAAATTTGCATTCACTGTGTGCAAAGTTTATAAAAACATTCAACTAAAACTGCTTATAAATTTTAAACTTGTGAAACAATGAAAAACAGGATCATATGAAGAAGATTAGGATTTATGTTTATTTTAAATGAAAAAAAAAAACAATAGTGTTAAATTTCAAAGGACAATCAAATCTGGAAGTCTGATACCTTGAATTACGTTTAAATCTAATAATATTGTGTGACACAGCACACTGTAGCCAGAGACAGTTCTCCCTTTGAGACAATAAAGTATATTTTAATCTTATCTTAGCTTAATGCAGCTCAGGAAAACATTTGCACTCAGAATCTGACAGCACATTTGGTGCAAAAAATCTGCAACTGGTAAAAATAAACAATTCTGCAAATAAGTGTTTCCAAGGCCATAGAAATAACACAAAAATGTCACATCAGACCCAGACAAACTTTACTTAAATGCTTATAATTTCAATCAAATAATAAAAATTGCATAATTTTTATACCATTTGAAGTGTTTTAGTTTAGGCTTTAGTTTTTGCATATCTTGAGAAAAATGGGTTTTCTCCAGGTACTCCGGTTTCCGCCACCCTCAAAAACATGTTCAGTATTTTTCCTTCAGGCCCAGGCCTCGCTTGAAAAAGAGATCTGTGATCTTAGTGGGATTTGCCTGGATAAATAACATTATAAAAAAATAAAGAAATAAAACATGAAGTAACTGCAAAACACAATTATCTCATGTTGTGTAGGTCTTTATCTATTTTACAGGTAGAAGTTGTTTCAGTCAGAATTCATTAGTTGCTTATCTTTGTTGATGTTTTTTAAGTGTGCTTTATTTTCAGAGTTCGATTTTTCAAACTTTGTTYAGTTAGCAGAGTAAAAACTGGTTGGTTGAGTTGTGCTGCCCTTTGCAGTAAAAGCAACCCACCCTTCTTTAGCATTTTATCTGATGGGAAGCTTCTTGTCTAGAAAAGAATCTCATTATTGGACCGTAACAAATAACATTACAACAACAAATGCATTTTTTTGCAATAAACAAAAGTACAAATGCAAGTAATTATCTGTACTGGTAATTGTTGACCTTGTTGCTTTTGCCTTGATACAATTCTCCTTTATTTATTCTTATTTTTCCGGTTAATTTCAGAGCACCAGGCTGCCATTTTACAGCTCAAACGAGAGCACAAGGAAGCTCTGGAGAAGATGCACGTAAGTTGACATGTTGCTGACGTTCTGCAGGCTTGTAACGTTCCAAGAAAATTCAGATCCAGGTTTCCCTGTTGACATGGGCTAGCTATGACTATTTAGTTCAAATAAATATGACATTTGGAAAAGCTTGCATTTGTGGCAGACTGAGACGTTAGATTCTTCTCAGATGAGGTAACTGGGAATATGTTGCACTGGTCAAGCATCTGATACCTGCGGCCACAAGATGGCACCAAATAAACATGAAATGTTCTGGTGCAGAGCCTGTGGAGGTTTCACTAACGTGTCATGGACGGGACATACCTGGAAAAAAACCTTTAATCTAAGGTCTAATTAATCCAAAGAAGAGTTTTCTTTCTAACAATAATTAAAGCTTTTTATTTAAAGTTTAAAACGTAATTAAAGCCCACCAACAAATCTTTAATGAACATTTCTGGTCACATGTCACTGATATTTCCCTTCTTCCAGCTTGAACAAGAACCAAACTTTACCACAAAATGCACAAAAATAATGAGTTTTTGCCTCGTTTATTAATTTGTACTGTCTTTCGTTTGATGTCGACCTTTTAAAGGGTGGGTGTTTTCTCTAAGAAATATGTCCCACCACAGTCAGCCCATTACAAATGGTGGGAACGTGCCTAATTCTTATTCTAAACTGACAAGATTTAATGAGAAACATGTGGAAGATTTGTTGCAAAACACCGTGTTCTAGTAGAAATTGTTCTGTTTGTTGGAAACATATGAAAACTTGAGTGAACAGATTTCAATGTGAATGTTTGACGCTATCTTTAGTTTGAAAATGTTCCGTATTTACGCTCTGTATTTGTTTAACCTCTGCTGTTCTGCTCTCGACAGTCGGACTTCCAGCTGCAGGTCTTCGAGGTGCGAGGCGAGCACGCGGTCACCGTGTCAAAGCTGGAGGGGGTCGTCTCTGCGCTGCGGAGCAACAGGTCCCACGGCACGGGTCAGGGTCGCGCCCAGGTCTGCGATGCGGCCGTGTCCACCGCCGACGACTTGACCCCGAGGACGTGCCGCACCGTGGGGATCCAGACCGACCGGGAGACGTTTATTAAGAGCCCCGAGGGGGGCGGAGCCGGCCCGGCTCACAGCCCCAACCAGAACCTGCCTAAAAAACTCAATTTGGATTCGATCGAACAGAATTTGAAATCAGAGACGGGTCCAGGCCCTTCTGGGCTACCGCCCCCACCTCCTCCACCACCCCCTCCCCCTCTGCCT